ATGCGATCTCACTTACGGAGCGCTTCAGAGGGGAGGTGAAGGAAAGCAGATTCTGTACCACTGCTCTGTTTCAGTTTTTTTTGCTTGGCCCTTCTGTTAAGGTACGTCTCATCATATCTGGGGTCAAGAGTGATAATGTTTTAGATACATTGTGCTTTGTGGAGGAAACCATAGCTTACCTACTAATCTAATACATAAAAACACATTCTGGGCTCAACAGGAGGGGATGTTTTACATCAGCAGTGATTACAATAACCATTTGAAAGAGTATCATGGTTCATGTAGCTTTTTCCTCACAGATCTGCTTTTCCCTCTAACTTTTTTCTGCCTCTTGTAATTGCCCAAGTCTCTTTTGTCTTTTATTGTCTACACCCCCTTGTGAAAAAGGACATGATAAAAGGATGTGATAAAGGCATGGTGGCTTGGTGGCACATAAAGTGTCTGCAGAATATATCTGATCTTAACCTTAGACAATTTAACCTTAAGCGAGGCAGAATTACTTTCAGGTGTGTTTTAACAGATTTTCAACTGTCATAACAATTAGATACCATTCATCTGCTTTAACAGTACATGTTAATGTCTAGGCTGAGGGTTTTGCATTAAAAAATAAAATAAAATAAAGTCTCTCCACTGAAGTTGACACATTGTGGTTTTACTGGGGATTATGTGTCTTGACTGGGTTTTGGTTGAGTGCACTGACTTCCTGCTGGCTTGGTAGATAACCAGGAAAAATGCCAGAACATAACACATAATTAAACAGAAGCCAGGACGTGGTTTATGTGGTGGATTATGTTTTTTTAAAAAAAATATTGTGTCTTTTATTATTTCACACAGATTTAGATTTTGGAAGGAAGTCAGGGAGTGGTGTATGTATATATTTTTATTTGTGCTGTACATGCTACAAAGTTTCTTTTTTGCTTTTATTTTAACAGCTTCACTGTCTTGGACTGCAGCGGATGACGTTAGGGCGGCTTTCCAGCTCTCAGCACATCTCCAGAGAAGAAGATGAACGACTGCTGCTTCCAGCTGCTGTCCAAGGCAGCTGAGTTGGAGTGCATCTGATGGTGGGATGAGATGCTCTCTGGGGAAGCAGCTGATTTTAAGGATATGAACAACAACAACATAGCCAGCGAGGCAGCCAGTAGGGAAAGCACAAGATGAGAAGGGCCAGAGGTAAGCGACTGAACATTCAAAATTCGAGTGAAAGGATAGAAAACAAGTAAATCGGCGACAAATACCATTGTTTGCTGACATATTAAAAAAGAAAATTCTAATATTGATCCACAATATACATGGGCGGTCAATACTATAGATGCATGGCCTACTCAAATAAGAGAAAAACTGAAAAAATATTGATGGATTTTACTAGCATCATAGAAATAAAATCATTCTTGTTTATTCCAAATCAGCAGTAACTAGAATGATGCGTCATCAGAATTGAGAGCTGAAGCGTCTTCATATCTTACTAAGAGTTAAAAAAAGCTTGAATGTATAATAAGTACCTGAAGCTAATACACATTTTTATTTGATATGATATATGTGCTGTTATGCGGAACGAATAAAGGCATATATTTCTTTTTTCTCTGCTCGGTTTAGGAAGTGATGAGCTCTTTGGCCAACTGCTGATCTTAGCAGTGCTAAAAAAATCTTTTTGCTGTCTGGCCAATATTAAGAGTTGTTTGTGACAGACATATTGAAACCAGATGATCCTGTGCCCAAATACATTTTCCAAGTCTTCAACCAATGTGTGTGTGTGTGAAATCAAGACATTGCAGCTTGCACACCAACCTGTCAGCTGGAGATAAACAACTCACTTGTGTGATGTATCATGTATAATGTAACACAATATATTTATGTGTGCGACCTCTTCGTGTCCTCATTGTCCTTCATTCACTGATTGCTGAAGGATCTTTCTCTATGGTCTGTTGACACTGCGAGGTCACGGATCCATCTACTGGGAATACAGTGCAAACTTACTGTAAGTAATTGCGTCTGTGTGTGTGTGCGTACATATGTTTGCATGTGTCTGGATATGCTGTGTGCATAGTCGGCCAGGTGGATTAAAGAATGTTATGAAAAATGTAAAAGACCTGCGAGAGAGAGAAGGGCCAGCTGGGGTGATTGTGGCACTTGGAAGCAGAGACACTTTTTCCAGTCTGCACATTAATCGCCTGCTTACAATTAGACCTAGATGTATTTGCTCTTCTATTCTTCTTCTGTGTTCAGAAACTACTAACCATACTAACTCAAAGAATCAAACGTTTATATTAAGTCATTTAGCAACATGGTTGTGCTTTCAAACATATATCTACGCGTGCACCATACCAGGCTAGTACCAGGTTGGATCCCCTTTTGCCTTTAAAACTGCCTTAATTATTCATGGCACAGATTCAACAAGGTGCTGGAAACATTCCTCAGAGATTTTGGTCCATATTAATGTAATAGCATCAGACAGTTGCTGCAGATTCATCAGCTGCACATCCATGATGTGAATCTCCTGTTCCATTAAATCAGTACAGTGACCTCACTGTCATGGTCAATGAATCAGTTTAAAATTATTTGAGCTTTCTGACATGGCATGTCATCCTACTGGAAGTTTAAACGATCATCAGTTGGTACTAAGATGCCCAAAGTGTGCCAAGAAAATATCTGCCACATCAGTCTAAGCTGTTGATACAAGGCATCTAAATTCTGACTATACCATGTCACAGAAGATATCAAGACTTAACAGACCAAGCAATACTTTTACAGCTTTCTATTGTTGAATTTTGGTGAGCCTGTATAAATTGTAGCCTCAGTTTCCTGTTCTTAGCTGACAGGAGTAAGCATTGGAAACCGTCTCCTGCATACCTCAGTGGTTGTTTGACATAATGCTCCTTGTGGCAACGGTTGTTGTGATTTAACGCTACATAAATAAAATTAATTAAACAGGTAGAGTTGAATTTTAGCTACTATTGCCTTCCTCAGCTAAAAGCAGTCTGGCCACTCTACCTGCCATTGAGCACGAACAAGCCATTTTCACCCAGAGAGCTGCTGTTCACTGTAAATTTTCTTTTTATCAGATCCTTCTGTGTAAATATTAGAGATGGTTGTGTGTAAAAATTCCAGTGGATTAGCTGTTTCTGGAATACTCGGATAAGTTTGAACTCCACGTTGGTTGAGTGTTGAGTAATTGCATATGAGAGCATGAGGGTGGGAATGGATGTTTGTATCTGTGTGTGCCTGTTGTCTGTGTCTATATGTCAGGTTGGGTATCAGACGCCACCTCTCTGGGGACATCTCAGGACATCTAAGGTATGGAGGCCTATCTCCCCCCACCACTTCCCCTGCCGGTGGCGGACTCCCTCAGACATCGGTGCGTTGGTGGTTCTTTGTGTCCGGGGATGGGCG